ATATGGAGAGCAGCAGCTCTGCAGAGCCCCGGTCAGTGCCGGAGGAGGGCAGGAGGGGCTCCAGGCCCGGGGCAGAGGTTCCCCTGCAGCCCGTGGGCAGCCCATGGGGAGGCAGCTGTGCCCCGCACCCAGGGGGGCCGCGGGGGAGCAGAGACCCACCTGCAGCCCGGGGGGACCCCACGCCAGAGCAGGGGGTGCCCGGAGGAGGCTGCGACCCCGTGGGAAGCCCGCGCTGGAGCAGGCTCCTGGCAGGGCCTGTGGCCCCGTGGAGAGAGGAGCCCGCGCTGGGGCAGGTTCCCTGGCAGGACTTGTGACCCCGCGGGGGACCCACGCTGGAGCAGAGGAGGGGTGTGAGGAGGAAGAAGCAGCAGAGACAACATGCAGTGAACTGACCACGGCCCCCATTCCCCATCCCCCTGCGCCACTGGGGATAGGGAAAAGGAGAAAATTTGGAGTGAAGTTAAGCCCAGGAAGAGGGTGGTGGGGAACAGGGGGGGTATGTGTTTTTGGGATTTGGTTCTATTTCTCATTATCTTACTCTGATTTGATTGGTAATAAACTGATTTCCCCAGGTAGAATCTGTTTTGCTTGTGACAGTAACTGGTGAGCAAGCTCTCCCTATCCTTACCTCAACCCATGAGACTTTATATTTTCTCTCCCCTGTCCAGCTGAGGAGGGGAGTGACAGAGCAGCTTTAGTGGGCATCTGGTGTGCAGCACACAGACTTGTCAAGATCTTGCCTAAATGTAGGCTACCTTGAGTTCTTTATTTTCTAGAAAGAATTTCTCTACCCAACTCTAGATTAGTTGATAGGAGACCGGAGAACTCAATTGTCACTTTGTACAGACCCTCCACTCGCTGCTTGTCACACAGTGATAAGGCTGTCCTGCTTGTGTCACTCTGTCCATTCAGTAATGAACCTGACAGTTTTCTATTGTAGCATCACTGAAAAATTACTCATTCACCAGGCTTTTTTTCCTCATAATAGCAGAAATTGGGGGTGATCTCTGTAACTATTTGCAGTCCTGAAGAGGCATGATTGCACAAGAATAATTTGATTATTGGCCTTTGCCACAGAACTGTTGGAATACCTTCAGTGCTAATTGCATAGAGCATTAGGATGTGCAATTTAATGGTTTCTTTTCAGGTACGTGTGATCACCAGTCTATGCTTTATGAAGTCTACTTCTCTGGAGTTTTTTTCGTATAGAAGAAAATCCTGACCTTTTTTTTTTTTTTTAACTATGTTCTTAAAGATTAGATCTTCTGGTTTAACTAAGCTTTTTTTTGTCTCCTGTGCCATTCTCACTTTCACCATACTTCTTTTACCTGTTGTTGATTTTTATGCCAAGAAGCAGCATAATACCTTTATTCCAAATGTGTGGCTCAAGGTTCTGAGAGCCTGGAGACACGATTGCAGTGTGACTATGGAGATACTTATTCAAGTAGTGCAATATGAAAGGTATGTTCTTTTGCAGTGTTCTCTGGCAGATTCTACTTAGTGCACAAGGGATGCTAATTTTTTGTGGTGTTCTTGGTTGTTCTTCTATATTTGTAGTAGCCAGATAGTAATAAAAGAGCAGATACTCTTAGCTGACTTTTCTATGCTCACTAAAAATAGGTATCAAAATCAGCATATAGTTTGCATATTTTTTTCAGTGGGTAGTAATTATATGTTAATGAGGTGGAAGTAGCATTGGTTCCTCAGACTAAACTTTTAATGTTCCAGTCATGAGTTTCAGTGTAAATTACTGTATCTGTTAAGCTCTGTTATGTTAATTATTTAAAACCACTGCATTAGCCACTAGCCAGTTGAAAAAAAAAAAGTAAAATCAAAAACATTACAGTTCTAAAAGCACTTGTTTTTTTTTGTAATGTAAGGTTAGAAATACTTGCCATTAAATATTCACAGAAGTTGTCAGTACTAATCATTGTTCAGCTGTTTTGACTATTTGTATACAAAATTGAAATATTTTTTTACATTTAAAACTGTCTTTTTTTCATTATAGTAATTAATGAGGTGTATATTTTAAATTACAGTGTGCCACCATATTGTTGGAAACGAATACCTGTGATACTGAGGGGGAAAGTTGTGTTGGGGACTAAGCTTGTTTCATTTGAATTTAGTGGAAGTTTTGGGATTGGACTAATGAAAAGTTCTTGTACTTAAAAGTATTTTGGAAAGTTTATTAACAGAATGATTCCTTAGTAGGATTTCTATCATTAGAAAACCCCCATCATTTTAGATTTCAGATCATTGATGATGGTAGATGGAAGTTGCAGGTCAATTCCTAACATATGCTCTGTTGTACTTTACCTATTTAGGGACAAAAATTAAGGGCAATCTACATAGATGAGTATTCCACATTGCTTGTTTTCTGACACTGTTTAGTGCCTGACTAACTCTGCATAAAGTAAGGATTCTTTAAGAAAATGTAGCTTTGTATAAAATATTTTAGCATCTTTGTTGCAAGACCTGTGATTTCTTTTGAATTTTTCATACTACTTCTAAACTCTGTGATCAGGTACCATGTAAGAAATTCCACCTCCTTAATTAATCGTAATCAGCAGACTTGTTAACAGGCATATTCTTGAGATCTAATGGTTGAATAACCTAACACATTACTGCTAATAAATAGGGGGTTCTTGCAGTCCAAAATTAAGATGTAGAGAAGTAAGTGTTTAATGTTTTAAATTATTTTACTACTTCTGTCTTCTCTTTAAGCACAGGCAAATTATATATTCTTGTGTACACATACTTTCTTCCTGGCAGTACCATTTCTCCTAAGGGGGGTAAAAATGCCCTTTAAAATACTGGGCACAGTATTCGTACATGTTCTGCACCCCAGCAGGACAGACTGTGCTAGGAGAGTGCAGGTGGAAATAGTTTCCTCCAGACAAGGCTGTAAATGAGATAAAAATCTGTCCTGCCCCCCCTTAAACTGATACCTTGGCGCTGAGGGAAGTGTGTAGAGGGAGAGGATGACAGTTCTGCTGTACCAGCCTTCTCTCAGAGGAGTTGCTCTGCCTGAAGCTGTTTTCCATGGCTACTTTTCAGAGGAGGTTTGCTTGCTTTTTTGGTGAAAATCAAACCCAAAATTTCCATGGTCCATTAAAAAAACAGTTCAAGTAATGTCACCTTATTTGTGAAGGGTGCGGTAGGAGGCAATGGGACTGGCCACTTCAGAGGATTTTTGCCTTTGGATTTTTTGGTTTGATTTTATTTGAAAGTCAAAGGGAAAATTTAACTCTTATCATTAGATGTAGTTTGTTCATACCATATATAGGCAGATAAGGAAAAAAAGACCTCAGTATTGGTTCATTAAATTAGTGGTATATAAAAAATTCTGTGGAATGATGATGTGTCTGGGGAGAGAAGGAAATTCTTTATTGAAACAGAACTTGCTAGAAGACTATTTTGATGGAGCTGAAGAAAGTCCCATCAAAATAGGCTTTGATAGCTCTTATGCAAAAAAAAAAAAAAAAAAAAAAAAAAAAAAAAAAAAAAAAAAAAAGAGGAAAGAGAGCATATTTGATAAGAGGTAAAGTCCTTGTATTAATAGGCTTTATGGCAGATATCTTAGTTTTTATTTTAATGTATATATTAAAGAGCTTAAATTGCAGATGATAGAGGGAAGCAGCTGTCAGCACTGTTAGTCCAAGATGGTTATTTTGCCTTCATCTGGTCAGGATGTCTTTTCTCCTTTTCTTCTCTGTAATAATTCCGTGATTGGAAATGCCTGCAGGACAAAAGTAACTTTCTTTTGTTATCCATTGCTCTCTTTAATTATGATACCCAAATATGCTAAGGCTATATACTGTTAAATATAAGAATAAAGAGCTGTTGAACTTTTAACCCTCCTGCTTGTACCTAGACCATGAAGCTTAATATAATAGGTGTACAGTGCCTGAAGATTGCACAGCAAATCTGAGTAAAACCTGAATGAGCAATTTGAAAAACAGTTTGGGTACAGCTGCCTGTTCTGTTGTGCTGTGACAGGAACAGGTGTTACAGCTCATTTTCACTTCTGATTCTGTGACTAGTGAATTGTAACAGTGTTTGTTTAGCCCTGAGTGCTAAGTATGAATCACACTTCAGCAAAACAGCTGGCTAACAGATACTTGTGTTTGTGCTGTGGCTTCTTGAAGGAGTGTGTGGACGTGAAGGACAGAATCATTTTATGGTTTTATTTTAAGCTATAATACTGTCTCCTATGTTTTAATAAAAAAAATAAAATTGGTGATTTCTTATTTGTTAGCAGATTTCAGAGGGCAAAGAAATATTAACAATTCCCAGCTTTGAGTTGTAGAACTGTTTCTACAGGAATATCATGCTTTGTTAAGGGTCTGAAGCTTGTAATAAATACTGATATCCATTTACTTTTTCAGGAGCTGTGAAAATTGGACACAGTTTGCCATGCAAATTTAATATGGTTTGGGTGTTTCTGTTTATATGATGTGCTCAGAATGGTAAAGCAGTTAGGTTAGTAAAAGAGAAGATCAAGTATACGTATGATGCAGTCTTCTGCTGCATGAGAACAGTGGTAAGCTCATCTCTTTTGTCCATTGGCAAGAAGAAATTAGCCTAATTTGCAGCAAAATGACTGGAAGCAAAAGATTTCTAAAGATGTAGATAGTGAACTTTTCCAGTAGACTGGGTATATATTGGAATTTCCTCCTTTAGCCTTTTTTGGAGCAGGTTAACCAAATCTCAAAAAGGCTGTTGAGCAGGCAAAGAGTAAATGTTTTTGCCTTGATGGAGCATGGTGGGTTAGGTTACATCCTTCACCAAATTACTCTTTATGGGGATCATTTAACAGCTGTCAGTGGGTGGGCCACTGCTGTGAATCCATGTTGTCGTTACACAGGTAACAAGTTAAGGAAGGGTCCTAAAGCTGTACAACAGTAAAGAGTATGCAGTG